AAAACTTTTAATAAAAAAAAAAAAAAAAAAAGATAAACACACACTACAAAATCACTAAAACTCTAACTTAAATTTAAATGAGAACAGAAAATATAAAAATACAATCTAATACAAAATATAAACAAAAACCACAATAGTGTAGTGTATTGGTGATAAAATAACATACTCAACAAGTTTGTGATGCAGCATGTTTTTTTTTTTATTGTTTTCCCATAGTATCAAATTAACATTAACAGTATCACAACATATATTCATGTTACAGAATGCACAAAACCTAAAAGATAAGTAAAAAATGAATGAGAGAGGAAAAAAGGGACATATATACATGTAAACATGACAACAAATAATAAAAAAGGTCACACCGTTAGTGATCTTTAAATAAGAGATAAAAGAAAATTAAAGGAAGTTAAAACAGACCTATGTACGTCAAGAAAGCTCTTTTATACATTCCCAAAGTGAAAACCATATCACCCAGAATTTGTCAGATTTTCATGTAGCAATCTGTGATGTCCACATTTTAAAAGCAACAAAAGTAACAAAATGCATATTTAACCAAACATACCAGGACAATAAATAACTGTATTGCATCTTTTTTTAAACAGACTGTTCACATTAAGATTCAATAAATACACAGCTGGGGTCATATCAAAGTTTAATTTAATAAGACCTTTCATTACCCTATGTATTTTCCAATATGGCAATATTTTGTCACAGTACTAAAAACAATCAATGAATGTACCTTTATCTTTTTTACACTTGAAACACAGGCCTGTAGCATTGATAAACATTTTCTCAATATGCATCGGTGTAATATATCCTATTAAAAAATATAAAGTTGAGCTCTTGGATCTAGGTCACTAAACCAGAGGAGACATCATGAACCTTGGCACACTATGACAAAACCATCCTGTACATCAGCTCGAATCGCTCGAGCTAAAGGCAGTTCACCCTTTTATTCTGATGTTTAGACATCGCAGGCTGCAGATGGGATGAATACATTGCTGTAGACTAAATGTGTCACATTGTGAAGCACAATGGTTCAAAATATCTAATTTTCCTAGTTTTCAATGTCAGTTTGACTGTTCTCTCTGTTTATTCTTCAGCTGTTCTATAGAGTCACTGATGAAAATGCCAAGAAGAGAGATCTCCACCTGGTGGGAATGATCTGTTACTCTAGTCGACATTACCTAGCATTCGCTTTTCACAGCAAGTCTTCCAAATGGATCTTTTTTGATGATGCAACCGTGAAAGAGGTATTTAACTAACAAACACACACACACACACACACACACACACACATATATGTGACCCTGGACCACAAAACCAGTCATAGAGGTCAATTTTTCAAAATTGAGATTTATACATCATCTGAAAGCTGAATAAATAAGCTTTTTCATTGATTTATGGTTTATTAGGATAGGACAATATTTGAAAATTTTGAATCTGAGACTGCAAAAAAATCTAAATATTGAGAAAGTCGCCTTTAAAGTTGTCCAAATGAAGCTCTTAGCAATGCATATTACTAATCAAAAATTAAGTTTGCTGAAGCAATATGATCATACGCTCTCAGATTTTTGAACTCTGTGTTCACTGACATATTTCTGTGTCTATCTTGTATCTAGATTGGCTCCAAGTGGAAAGATGTGGCATCTAAATGTATCCGGGGTCACTTCCAGCCGCTCCTCTTGTTCTATGCCAATCCGGATGGCACCGCAGTGTCCAATGAAGACGCCCCCAGACAGACCACCATGTGGTCCCGTTATAACACCCCCCTCAATGGGAAAGGGACAGGTAAAGCTGCCCATCTTGTTTAACAGTGTATGAACAGAGCCACAATGTTGTCCACTGGTTTTAGTTATTCAAATTTAATTGTTGTTTTTATTCCACTAATACTTGAAAACACACCTTATGAATGTACATAGTGTTTTTGGCTGCGAGTAATCTTTTTCAATATTTAATCTGGTCCTGTTATGCTTTTTGCACTATTTCAGCTTTAGTTGGTGTGTAATGTTGCTGTTTGAGTCCAAAGTCCACTCCAAAGGCAGATATTTTCTTTAACAGAAAACACTTTTCAAGAACGACAGCAAACGGCTCGTTCGGACTACAGCACGCTTCTTCTGCATGTTGTGAAGTCACAACGTCACTCATTTAAATAATCTCCGCCCACGGGTGTGGTCTGGTTGAGCAGCGCTACAGAAGACTCAGAAGAAGAAGAGCGTGTTGTCCTCGTGGCGATAAGATGCGGTTTCTTCCACCCCGGTTCCAAAAGCCCTTTATTTGTGTTTACAGACGTTCTGCACAAAACGAATTAATCGGGCAAAACTGACGCCATCGTTAATATTCACAGATGAAACACACGTTTATGGCAAGGGGCGTGTCCATTCCGGAACACAACATTCACAGCACGCTGGGCCAGCTAACCAATCAGAGCACAGTTTGTGTTTCAGAAGGAGGGGCTTCATCGAAACAGGAACTAAACAGAGCATTCGAGAACGCTGCTGCAAAAATAACAACAATCAAGCATGAAAACCTATTGTAGTGCACCCCAAAAACCAAAGCAAGACGTAAAAAAAACGTAATCATTACAGTACACATTTTAGGTAATATAATCAGACTACTTTTAATCTAACTCATTTATCATATTTATTTAAATAGGACAATCTTGTACCATATTGATATAAAATGACAAAGAATAAGAAAATATATTTCATTCGTTATTATTAACATAATGTATGTTATATATAACAAATGAGGGTTAGTGAAGGAACTGTAGAGGGATAGTGAGGTTAATGAAAAGCTAATAATTAATTCATAAAACTGTAAAATTAAAATAACATCAATAAAAAAAAAAAACACTTACTAAAAAATTGTATTTTATTTGTTTGCATGTCACGTGACCATTAACCAATGTTAGAGAACCGTAAACATGCACATGTGTTATTAATTTCTTACCTTAAAATATCAAGTAAATATATTATGTGAAAGAGGTTCGGCTGACAAAAAAAAGTTTGGGAATCCCTGCATTACATGTAAATAAGAAATCATGTGAATTTGTCCATTTTAATGTGTTTGAAAGATAAAAGCCTTCCAAAGACATAGTAACACATGGTTAAATAATCAAATAAAAATTATAAAAAAAACAAAAAAACAAATAAAGAATAAAAATTAATGTTCATCAGTATTGATACAATATTGAAACACTTCTTAAAAATAAAAGGATTTTTTGTAAATCCAGTGACTGGTCTTTATTTTCTATATAAGCGGTAGGCTATTTTAGAAAGGGAATTTAAAAGATGAAAAAGAAGAAATGGGGGAATCAATAAATTATGAATAATATATTGCTAATAATTTAATGCAATTTATTGCTATTGTAATCCAGAATACATGTAATCAGTTACTACCCAGCATTGTTTAACAGTAACAACACTCTTGTTTTACATTGGCTATTGCTACAAATATACCCCAGCGACTTAACACTGCTTTTGTGCTGCAGGGTCACATATAATGTTACTGTTTGAAAATATTTTTTAAGTGTCAGTGACCTGCACATGTAGAGCTTAAGAGATAAAAGCCATACATTACATTACAAATAATAATAATAATAAGAAGAAAGTATTAATTTTATTATCATTTATTATCATGTTCTCAAGGTCATATTTAACATTTTAATATTAGTTTTGTAATTAAGGATAAAATGCATCTGCTGTAATAGATAAACTGCCTTTTTAGTCTGCAGTCTTTTTTCAGCATTGTTTTGCAGTCAGGTCGAGTCATTTTCAAGTTTGATCATATGATTGATGCCAGTTTAAATCCAATGCATTTTCTATTGTTTTGTTTGATGCTTTTAGCTGAACTGTATTATTTGTTTGATTCATCATACAGTATTTCTGCGTGTACAGTGGCAGATCCACTTTGCTCTTGTTCTGTAGGGAATTAAGTAATCCATGTGCTTATTTTTTCCCCCTCTTCAAACATCTGGGACGGCTCACCACGTGTCCTATATAAGCACATAATAAGCAAGTTTGTCCTGTTTGTTAAGTTACAGATTGCATTGGCTTATTTGATTACTTAGCTCAGTGTGCAATGGATGAATCAATTTATAAAAGTCTTTCTCTGAAAAATGCATTCAAATAGGCCGGTCTACAACAGTATGCATAGATACTATTCAAATGTAGAGCATTATGGTACTTATCACGTTACATGTTAAATGAATGAAGGTTGGTTTTACTTGCAAGATTTCACCAGTCAACAGTCCAGACATCATCGTTTCATTTCAAACTCATGCTTTTTATTTCTTATCTGACTTTCTTCTGTGGAGCACAAATACGGTTGCAAAAAAGTTGGATAATTTCCAGTAAATTTCGGAAACATTCCAGGATTTTTTTTTATATTCCAGGGATTTTTGGAATGTTTCCGGAAATGTTCCACCCCTTTGCAACCCTAAGCACAAAAGGATAAGTTTACCAGAATGTTCTCACCGCTCTTTTTGTCATTTTTGAATTTTGATCTGTTTCTCATACAAGTATATATATATATATATGTGTTTTTAACAGTATAGTGTGTAGAAGCTCGTTTTACACCACTGAATAAAAAATAAAAAAAGGTAATTATGACACTTTATCTACAATTCTGGCTTTTATTCTCAGAATTGCAGGATAAAAACTCACATTTGCGAGAAATAAACTCAGAATTGCAAGATATAAACTCTCAATTCTAAGAAAAAAAGTCAACTGCAACTATATTTATATCGCAATTCTGAGAAATTGACTTTTTCAAATTACTTTTTTTATTCAGTGGTGAAAACGGGCTTCCATAGTATAACTTTTTTTTAGTCTTTAAGTCTTTTTTGCCCTTTGTGGTTTTCATTTTATGGAAAAGATCCGTTTGAATTTTTATTTTTTTATTTTTTTTATTTTCAAGTTTAAGTTTTTCATCTGATATTTATACTTTATTTTATTTCAGCTTTATTTTATTGACCAAAAATGTATTTATTAGTTAGTTATTTGAGTAGTTTTAACATTTTAGTTAACAAGTCAAGTCTGCAACACTGCAAAGTATTGGCATGTAGACACTAAATATTAAAGCTAGAATATATAAAGTCTAACTGAATGTAGGTTCACCCCTGTGTGTCTCTGTCTTTGGCAGATGCTCATCTGTCAGGCTCTAAGAAACTGGACAGTATCAGAGATGTGAGTGCTGGTTCCCATCGAACAAATCTGGCATCCCACAAATCAATGCAGTCTTCAACCAATCGGTGTAAGTTATCATGATTAGTTGTTCATGTCCACACAATATTTTATGCTTCCATGAAATGGTTAATTAAAGTGCCCCTATTATGCAATTTTCGGTGCATTCTGGGTATTCTCTAGCCGTTGAGCATACATCAGTTGTACACTCAGTATTGCTGTGCATTGTGGGATTGAACGAGTGCACTCGATAATGTCCACTAAGGTTTCGTACACCACTAAAAATGGCTGTCCCATCAAACAGTGCCTTATTTAAAGGGATAGTTCACCCAAAAATGAAAATGTGATGTTTATCTGCTTACCCCCAGGGCATCCAAGATGTAGGTGACTTTGTTTCTTCAGTAGAACACAAATGATGATTTTTAACTCAAACCGTTGCAGTCTGTCAGTCATATAATGGAAGTGAATGGGAATCACGGCTTTGAGAGTCAAAAAAACATGCACAAACAAAACCAAATTAAACCCTGCGGCTCGTGACGATACATCGATGTGCAAAGACACGAAACGATCGGTCTGTGTAAGAAACTGAACAGTATTTATATCGTTTTTACCTCTGATGCACTGCAATGTCCGAAATGTCCTGATCGTGACGCGTCTTCTTCTTCTTGCTTTACGGCGGATCACAGACTTATAAGTTCATTACCGCCACCTATCTCTCAAGTGGACCATTGACACTCCTAATTGAGATTGTAGATAGTGTCACAACTTTACACATCAATGTATCATCACGAGCCGCAGGGTTTAATTTGGTTTTGTTTGTGTATGTTTTTTTGACTCTCAAAGCCGTGATTCCATTCACTTGCATTATATGACTGACAGACTGCAACGGTTTGAGTTCAAAATCTCCGTTTGTGTTCTACTGAAGAAACAAAGTCACCTGCATCTTGGATGCCCTGGGGGTAAGCAGATAAACATCACATTTTAATTTTTAGGTGAACTATCCCTTTAAGGGAAAGGGAGTGATTTCAGTCAGAGGCTCAGTCTCTCTAAACCCCTCCTTTCCGTGAGCCTGCTCTGCTCTGATTGGTCAGATGGCCCGGTCTGTTGTGATTGGTCTATTTAGCATGCACGTTTGAAGAAATTGCATTAGAAAGATATTGATATAATTTCTCCCTTTTCAATGTCCCAGTTAAGGTGCTTCCAGAAAGTCCCAGCAGGCTCCGAGAGTCTTCCAGAGATTTTTCTCACCGAGGAGTAGGACAGAGGAGAGAGAGTGAAAGAAGCTACCGAAGAGCAGACTCTCTCCAACACAAAGGTTTGTTCATGAAAGCTACATATTCATAATGAAACATTTGAGTTATTGAATCTAAAATAAATCCATCTTGTTATCAGTAGCCTTTGTAGTGTCTATTATATTTTTCTCTATAATATAAATAATACAGTTCTAATGATGATTCATACAGAATACGTGTCATACAATAATTATAGTTTTTTACTAATGTGCTTATACAATATTTACACTTACATTTACACTCATTAATCATGAGACATCATGCACAGGCCAAAACAGAATCGCTAAACCTTTTCATGAGCAGCTGTTTCAGCGTAAGCCGATTTTAGACTTTTATTTTGCTACTGTACAGTAGTCCTGTCCTTTTCTTGCTACTTCATGTCTCTGAAATGAGGTTTCAAATGAGAATTTGTATGAATAATAGCATGTATCTGTTCAAAGAGGCTTAAAATCAGCATAACATTATGAGTCTCACTAGGTTTCACTAGGTTCACTTCACAGTAAGGTTCAATTTGTTAACTACATATGCTATTCGGAATTAACAATTAATCTTATTTAATGTTAATTTCAACATTTACTAATACATTTTAAGTTGTGTATGTTCATATTATTTAATGGACCTGAGCTAACATGTAAATGTGCTAACAATGTACAGTTTCTAGTAACTACCGTTTCCATACAGTATAACATTAACATTAAATATTAATGAATACTGTAGATAAATACTCAAGATAAAGTTTTTGTTTACATAATTTGTGTGTGTACTGAGTATGTTTATGATGTATATATAAATACACAAACATACATGTACATATTTAAAAAATATTTGCATGTGTGTATATATATATATATATATATTTTTTTTTATTATATATAAATGTTAATATTTTATATATAAACAAAACATATTTTTCTTAAATATATACATGCATATGTGTGTATTTATATATACATCATAAATATACACAGTACACACACAAATTATGTAAACAAAAACTTTTATTTTGCATGCGATTAATTGTTTGACAGCACTAACATATATATATATATACACACACACACACACACACACACACATATAAGTCTGATTCCCTCAATTGTCAAACAATATGACAACCAATATATACTTGTCTTAATTTTGAACAAAATATATCAATTGTATCAATTGTTTTGGCACATAGCCCTTTTTATCAGATGCTTTTTTTT